TTCCTTCACCTGCTCCCCCCACCGACCAAACTGTGCAGCTCTGCAACTGCATCCTGGCCCATCCTCACCCTTCTGCCCCCAACCCTCACCTCCTTGTTCCCCCAATATGTTTTTCCCAATAAAAGAAAAAAAGTAAATAACAATAGGGAAATCTCATGGGAAGAAGTTGTGCTGCAATCTCAAAGGCACAGGGTTTGAACCTACCAGCTGCTCTGCTGGAGATAAGAAATCTTCCTTTCACACAATTTACTGCTCTGAAAACCCACTGAAGGAACACAGCAACAACTACAACAACAACAACAAAAAACCCAGCAAAATCATAAAAAAAAGTCAAATTTTGATGGAGGCCATCTTTATAATCCTGGTTTTAGGACACATCTGAACTATGGCAATCAATAGTGAAGTTCTCATCCAATCACCCAACAAGTTAATGGAGCATTGAGGTATTTAACTTTGTTAAGTATACTTTCTATATCATTATATCTTGCAAACAAGTCTTTTTCCAGTTTGGTATTGTCACATTTAATCTTTGTATCATTGCAGTGGTAACACTCTTGATTGCTCTATCAAATGTTTTTACATCAGACTTACTCATAGCCACCTCAGAGTAGCCTGTATGACTCACAGTCCTCATCAATCTGAGTTTGAAAGGGATGAATGCATTCCATCCTTTCTGAACACCTGGTAGAGTATGAATTGTCAGAATGAATCAGGAGATTTGCTGGTCTAGTTAGGATATCTCTATTCTTCACCATCAGGATTTGCTATTTCATTGCCTTCAGAAACCTCTGTAAGGATTTTCTTCATAATGTTTTCATCGACTCATCTCCCAAGTCCATTTTATATTTTGAATATGCTGATAAGTTGCAAGCGACTCAACGGCACATAACAACAACATGCTGATAAAGATCTTGCTTACCATGACAGAGTTGAGGAAAAAGATTTTCACCACTGGGCCAATTGGCAGCATCATGATAGATGAAGAGATTGAGATTGTTAATAGTTTTAGCTTGCTTGACTCCACAATCAACAATTTTGGTATCAGCAGCTAGGAAATCAAAAGACAAATTGCATTGGGAAAGTCTGCTGTCAGGGACCTCTCTAGAGTACTGAAGAGCAATAACATCAGTCTGGAGACTAAGGTGCACCTCATTTAGGCCAGAGTCTTCACAATTGTTTGCTATGTGTCAGAGAGCTGGACAATGAATAGGAATGATAGAAAGAGAATTGATGCCTTTGAGCTGTGTCACTGGAGAAGAGTATTGAATATACCATGGACTGCTAAGAGAACAAACATGTTCATCCTGGAGAGGGTGAAACCAGGCTGCTCCTTGGAGGCAAGAATTCTGAAGCTTTGTCTGACATACTTTGGGCATGTTGCAAGAAGAGAACCAGTCCTTGGAGATGGACATCATGCTTGGAAGGGTGAAATGACAGTCCAAGAGAGGAAGACCCTCCATGAGACGGATTGAATCAGTGACTGGGGTAACTGGGGTAGGCGTGTCAGAGATAATAAGGTTGGCACAGGATAGAGCAGGTTTCAGGGTTATTGTACATAGGGTTGCTGAGCAACTTGACAGCACATAACAGCAAAGCAACTTTCTTTTGGAATACAAGGTTGTTGTGTGCAATTGAGTCAGAACTTACTCAAAGCTGCCCCTCCTATGGGTTTTCAGAGGATGTAAATTGCATAAGGAGCTCTGGTGGCTCAGTTGTAAAGGTTTGTGCTCCCAGTGTGAAGGCACGTTTGGTTCAAATACACCAGTTGTTCCACAGGAGAAAGATGAACAATCTCCTCCTTTTCAATTTACAATCTCTGAAAACTCATTGTAAAGTAAGTTATGAATCAGTTCCAACTCATTATTACATAACAACAAATCACACAGGAGGAGATTGTCCATCTTTCTCCCAAGGAGCAGCTGTAGATTTGAACACGTGCCTTTGAATTGGCAGTGCAAATTCTTACCACTGAACCAACAGAGTATAACAGTAAATTGGACTTTATGAGTTGTTTTTCCTTACTCCTTAGTTTAAGTTAGTTGGTTGTATGCGTTGAGTTCCCCACACACACACATTACCTTTTTTCTTACTCCTTGGTGTCTTGAATACTATTTGCAAGTCTCCTGGCCCAGTCTTGGGACCCTCTGTTTGTAGGTGCTGGTGCTGCTGTGTGCCAGTCAGTACAAGTCATTGATGTTATTTGCCATTGAGTAGACTATTATAGCGACCCTATGGACAACAACTCTGAACTTTGCCTTATACTGAGCCAACGTCATCGTCTCCAACACACTCGACCCTATTACTACAGTCACTGTTCAATCCATTTCATCCAGTGCCTTTCTCTCTTGTGCTAACCTTCGCCTTTCCAAGTATGATGTCCTTCTCCAAGGACTGTCTCCTCCTGACAACATGCCCAAAGTATGTGAGATGGAATTTCAAAATCCCTGCCTCCAAGGAGCAACCTGTTTCTACCCTCTCCAGGACAGACATGTTTGTTCTCTTGACAGTCTATGGTATATTCAATACTGTTCTCCAGCATCATAACTCAAAGGCATCAATTTTTCTTCTGTCATTCTTAGTTATTGTCCAGCTGTCTTTAAAGGTTGTTGTTGTGAGATTTAGTAAGTCTTAAAATCACATAGGTCTTCTTATCTAATTTAGAATGGAGTAGTGTACTGTCAGAGCCTACACCCTCAGAATAGCAGCAAGCCAAAATAGCATAGGACTTTGAACAGCTGCTAGAATGACAAACCGTATGCCAATCCTAAGAGAATTTAGGGAGTAGGTCAGCAATATGATATATATACCTTATTTTAAATACATCCTTTCTCTTTGTAGCAAAAGCCTTCCACTTTTCCATCCTTCAAACTATACCCTTTTCAAAACAGGAGAGGATAGTACCTGATCAGATACAGTTAAGACCCCAGGGAAACAGATTAAGTCCACTTGAGAGTTTGAGCTCAGCTCTTGAAAGCACAATGAATCCAGCTGACTGGATTTCCTTTGTGAGGTATTTCATGTCAGCACTGCTTGTGGTAATTACAGGATCACAAGGATCACAACTTGTATCACAAGTTCTACAAGAAAACTGGCTAGCACGGATTTGGCTTTGATAATCATTTGCTTGTTGAATATCTTGTCCTACCAAATTTGTTATCTGTGATGTCATTATACGAAAAATTCGTTATTCCACTTAAGTCTTCTGACTTGACTTCTGAGTGAAAGTGACCATGAGACTGTTAACTAACTACATTGTTGTAATTGCTGGAAAAGTAATCCATTAATAAGTTTATTACTTAAGGATTTTAATTCTGTCTACAATGTATTTCAAGTATTTTTCTCAGTGTCAGCTGTCTTTTACCAAATAGAAGTTTTAAATTTTTATTAAAATCTGTAAATATTTTTCTTTACGACTTGAGTTTCCTGACCGGCTTGAGGACATTGATCTGGGATACTGCACAGCAACAGGCTTAATTTTATATTTTTTTATATGACCTAAAATGTTTCAGACTTTACTCCATTTATGATTTAAGGGAAGTAACATGCTTCTCAAGCGTTCTCGTGTTCCTTGACTTAGATGGATTGAGAACATTCTTAGGAGAGTAATTTTATTTAAAATGAGGATAAGTTGACTTTTGTTCCCTTAAAAGTCTGACCCCATTCCTTTCGTGAAAAGCACTTACTTTGTGTACACTATGTTTATATGAAAGCTGAACAACCATACAAGCACGGTTCCCAAGCAGATGTCCTAATAAATCTTAAAATGCTGCTGTACAGCTACTGAAGGCACAATTTGATCCCTAAAGCCCTCACCGATCAGTGTAAACAGCAAACAAAAGGCCTCAGTGTTCGTGGAAAAGAGTTCTTCAAAGCAGGTAAAGGTCCTGTTTACTTCAGAAAGCTGAAGAGAAAAAAAGGGTTTTCAGATTATAAATGACAGAGCTGTCCTTGTGTAACACAGGCCAATTGCGATAAGGCTTTACTTTTTTCGAGGCCCAAGTTATGAAGACAATGGAGCAAGAACTAAAAATGAACAAAATGAAAAGCTTTCGCTTTGACGCACAGAATTACATCAATCCCTGACAAAACCGAAGATTCCGTTTTAAAAATGCTCCCTTTTACCAAAGCCTAACCTTTCATTATCTGTGACAACACATCAAATGCACAGCAGTACAAAGGATACATGTGATTTCGAAATGCCACAATAGGGCCAACTGCAGTTGTCCGCGTATGTAGTGTGGAGGCGTGACCACTAACACTAGGAAGAGCACTGGGCTTTACGCGCACCACAAGATACTCTCCTGCCTTCCACAGGATCATTTCCGCTTGCTCCCCATCTCAAAGTGCCCTCCGAGGCAAATTTTCACCTAGCCCAAATTAAAGGCCAGATCATTCAAGGTGTTCAACAGTCACTGGGTACAGCGGTCGCGCGACGTAAGTATTACTTGATGACGAAGATCCTAGGGGAGCAGGTGCCAAAGTAAACGGCTGGCACAGATGACTGTGGTTATGACTTAAGGCTAAGGAAAACAGATTAGGGACTGAGACACAGCAGCAGCCCTAAAAGAACTATCTTTCAAGTTCGAGACAAACTTGTAGCTTCGCCTAGTGGTCTTTTATAACAAGAAATAGGCTTTGCTAGGTGATCTCCACCAGTGGATAAAAGAAACTCTCCCGTCAGTCCCATCTTCCTCCCAGACTCAAGTCCCGTTTACTGCCCCGAGCACCTCCCCCGCCCGGGGGGAGATGCTCCAGCTGCAGTACTTCGCCATTCATCAACCGGTTCACACCGGTGGCGGCTGCCGTGTAGTGACGTCTGCGAGGGGCGGGCCTACGCCCCCGCTTGTTGGTGATGGGCTCAGAGCTCGGTTCGTGATTGGTGCCGGAGAGTTCGTACGTTGCGCTCGCTATAAAAATGAAGGCTTGTGACGCAAGGGCGCCTCGGAGCGCGGATTGGCTCTTTCTGCTGCGGACCGACTAGGCGACGCGCTCTCTTCGGAGCCGCTCACTGCATGGTAGAGCTTGGTACCCTCGCCCTCGCCTGCACTACTACCGCCGCCGCACCGCGAGGACCATCGCCGCCCCCTGCCCTACAGCCTCTGCCACTGCCGCCGCCTGTTTCGCCGCCGCCTCGGGACCGGCTGTATGATTAGGCCACAATCTTCAATGAGTAAACATATTCCGGTGAGTAGCTTGCGCACTGTCGTCTCGGGATGGCAATCCGTGACCGGCCCTTCCATCCTTACCATCGCCTTTGTTTTAAGGACCAGCGGCCAGTCTTCCCAGCCGGTCTTTCCGATGGATCCCGGGTGGGAGTGGACTGGATCACGGCCCTGCGGCTGCCCGCTCGCAGTTGGGTGCGAGGGTCCGCAGCGGCGGTTGCCTGCCGGGTACCCCGGCTTCCACGTCCTTGCGGGACCTGGGGCCACAGGGTGGTGCAGTTAGGCTTGTGCGGCGGGCGGAGGAGGCTTCGGCCGCCGCAGCGGGCCGGGCGCGGCGGCACAAAAGCCGCTTTGTGACCGCCGCCTCCGCCCTTGGCCCTCCGGCCTGGCGCGCCCCGTCCGGGCCCGGCGGGCTTTGCGGCGTCCCGGGGCCCCTTTGTTCGGCCGGGGAAGGGCGGCCCGCCCGGGGAGCGGGAGACGTGGCCCGGGGTGGGGCGAGGGTTGCGCGTGTCACTGCGGAGCCGGATACGGGGAGGGCGCGGCGGCGGGGTCGCCACCAGACCCGGGTCGGCGTAGGATAGGCGAGGCGGCCCGGCGCTGCTGGGGACAGTGTGGCCCGGGAGCTCTCGCAGCCGGGGACCGGCGCGGGACAGGAGTCTGGTCCAGCCACCCCAGTGCTTGACAGCTTCAGACAAAATGGCCTCGGCCCCCGCGCCTGACTGAAGGCGCGGCGCGAACCCGTGATTGCGGCGCGGAGAGGGGGAGCCGCGGGCGGGCCCGGGCACGCTCCGCCGCGTGCGGGGAGCGGCGGCCATCGGGGACGAGCCGCGCGATGCAGCCGTGCTCGGGCTGGAACCCGGCTCTGTAGGTGAGAAGCCAGCAGCACGCCCTCCCTGGTCTCCACCTGGTAATTCGAGCTGTTCCGGATTTAACGCCCCACCTTCGATCCCGGTTAATAGGAGCAAGTCTGGTCTTGTCCTTTCTCTGGGACGAGACGGTCGAGAACAGGACCAAGTTTAAGCTCCTTGGAAACTGCCAAAGCAGCCATTGCTCTGGAGCAAAGGAGTATCTGGTCCAGCACCAGCATTCAGTTTTTCCCCACTTATTTGGGAAGTGTCCTGGTTGGCGCATTTTAATCTAGGAATATTTGAGACTATTCCTGAAATCTTTAGTGTAATGAGTGGCTTTTTCCAGTTGTTTATGGCAGCGAGAGACAGCCAAAGGCAGAAATCTGAGGTTTTCTTTCTTTGGAAGCCTCCACTGCTCCAAGAGTATTTAATTATTATTTACATTGTTCTTACTTGGAACTGTAAATTTGCTTCGCAATGCAGATTGTGCAGCAGTACTTTCTTAGTACCATTTTGTGAATTTTGTTTTATCAAGCTGTTAACCGGTTAAGAACCAGCAAGTTAGATCCTTCTCAAAGGTAACACAAGCATTAACGAAACAAGGTAAGGAGTGGACTCTAGTCTTGACAAAACAATTCTATAAATTAATTTGGTTTTGCAGTCTCGCAAACTCATTTGTAGGGGAGAGGGGGGGAAAAATGTTTTGAGCTGCATATTGGTAGAAAATTATTAAGAATGTCATGGACTGAACTGAAATGGGGGAGGCTAGTTACTGCTACTTTGGTAGAAGCCCTCCCATCCACGGGGTGGCTCCACTTAGTAGAAAATGGCTTTCACAACTTTGTGCATTGTCTTTAATGCACTGTCATTGGAAAAGTGCCAGAATATATCTCGGTGTCATAAAGAAGTAATACTTGGGATTTGAGTAAAAATAACAATTGTGATTTCATTACAGAAGTGATATCCTTAATAGTGTTGTAATTTAGACAATAATCGGTTTTTGTTTTGTGGATTATCTCAAAATTTAGCAAAGTTCTAGAAACTAGTGTGGCACCATAAGGGTGAAAGTGAGAAGAGATTATATTACATTTTAGACCTCTCAGATGTCTAAACATTGAGAAATTTAAATTAGAAGAGTTCATTCTATTTGGTAATTTCCCTTTACATGTGCAGCAGTGGTTGGCACCTGGGTCTGTTTTTACTTTTTCTAAAGTATTTTAGGAAGGTTAACATGATACATATTAACATTCTTGTACTTATTCTAGAATTATCCTTATAAAACTTTGGCAAAATAAGCACAACTTGTTTTTGTATTGGCGATGTAAGTAAATTTGATGTCTAAAACACTTTTGGTTCTAAAATAAAAATTTAAGAGACTGTTAATCTCATGGGAGGAGATTGTCATCTTGAGGGTAGCAGCCTAACTCTCAGGACCACTAGAGCGCCACAATATTAAAACTTTAGTAGCTTATAGATTGACATTATGAAAAAGCTTTAATTCTTAAATTGAAAGTATATATAAGTTGGAAGAATTAACATCTATATAATGATTATCTTGGTATAAGTTTTGGTGGTGAAAAAAAAAAATTTTAAAAAGTTATGGTGGTGGACCATCCCATCAGAATCCACCCATTTCTGACACTCCAGTGAGTTTTTAGAGGCAGTAATCAGATTACCCATCTTCCCAAGAATCAGCTGACTGATTAAAACCTTGTGCCATTGGTATTGCAGCACAGATTCTTTGCACTAGGCCACCAGAGCTTCCTCTTAGAATCTAATGTATATAGTATATGTGTGTGAATATGTATCTTGGTATGTGGTATACCTAATTTTTTTTTAATACCATAATTACAGTCAGGAAATCAAAAGACGAACTTGCGTTAGATAAATCTGTCAGGGACCTTTCCAGAGTAGTGAGAAGCAGCGATTCCAGTCTAGAGACTAAAGTGCAAAAAGCAATTCCACTGGAGAGCTGGATAATGACTAAATGAGGATAGAAGGTCATTTGATGGCTTGGAGTTGTGGTAATGGAGAAGTCTTGAACATAACATAGACCGCCAAGAAAACAAATAGGTCTGTCTTAGAAAGAATGAAGCCATGCTCTTGGAGAAGCATCATTGAAAGGGTGGAGGGACAGCACAGGAGAGGAAGACCCTGCATGAGTTGGATTGATAACAGTAACTAGGGCAGGGTTCAGAGCTGTTTACGCAATAAGTTTGCTGCATAATAACACCAACAACAATTACAGTAATACGGTTTTGAATTGGAAAGTAATGTAAACCATTGTATGTAAATAGTTATTGATAAGATAATCTTTGGTGAGGTTAGATTTTAGCTGCTGTGCTAAAACCCTAGGGACTTAACTAACTTACATTCTCCTTGCATCTCATTTTCCTCAACTCTTGGATTTATAAATGTTCTTGAGAATCAAATTAATGTATATAATTTGCAAGAAAAATAATGGAGACATTAAGTGTACCTTGTTAGCTGCTATAGAAAGTCACATACACTACCCAGACTCCATCACTATTTGTATATTTATTATATGTGTGTGTGTATATGTAATTTTTATTATTATTTTTTTCCCCCAAGGAATAGGATAATTTAGAGTCCTCATTCTTATTAGAGAGCTTTGGTGGCCTAGCCTTTTAAGTTGCTCTGTTAACTCAAAGGACAGGCCTCTTAAATTCACCAGTGTCTCCAGGGGAGGAAAGATGGATGGACACTTCTTGTGAGATTTACATCCTTGAAACACTAGAGGGTCAGCGAAGAATTGTTTCTAACTTGAGAGTGATGAGTCAGGAATTTGTTTTATTGGTAATTAGAATGGCCTGGGCCTTGGGTTTTAAAAATAAAAGTTAAAGTTAAAATTGAGTTTATAAGGAAGCTTCAGTTTGTGGAAAGGCCTTTCTGCCACACACAAAATTAAGCAAAAGTGTTTTCTTGGTTTTTAATGTATGAAAGTTGTTTAATTAGTTGGAAAACAATGTAGAAAGTTGCACATAATGTGTCAATATAAAGCCAATAACTATCAAAAGTTAAATAGCAAAATAACATCTCTGTGTATGAATCAGATAATCAAGAAATGTTACTTTGTTAAGGCTGTTTTGTAATTTACTTCTTCATTTTAGGATTCTACTTTCTCCATTCTTTTTCAATGAAGTGATTGTTTCATGCTTATTGTTTTACTGTCTAAGCACTTTTATAGCTTGATGCAAGTGAAAAAGTAGCTTGGAATCTAATTTGAAAATAGTTTGGTTAAATACTATAAAAATTTGGCACATGCTTTTTGAACTGGAAAGCAACCTTTTTTGTTTATTATTTTTTTCTTTTTAACAGCAGTTCTGTGGTGTTCTTGGTCACACATTTATGGAGTTTCTGAAGGGCAGTGGAGATTACTGCCAGGCACAGCACGACCTCTATGCAGACAAGTGAACTGTAGAAATTCATTACTACTCTACTAAGAAGCCCCCATAAGAGCGGCTAACCTGAACACAGAAGTGTTGAATTAAAATCCACAGAGCAATTTTCAAGAGTTTTGACCTGGATGGGGTAAACCTCAGTGCACTTCGTTTCTATTGCCTCAGTATTACTGGATTGAAGAATTGCTGCTTCTTGTTAGGAGGTTCATTTCATTTTCCATTACTCCCAACATCATACTCAACGCACTGAGATTTTCAAGTGGAGTGTTTTGACATAGACTTCAGTTTCTTTACATAATTTCTGTATTCACTTTTAAAATTTTTTCATATCCCTCTTAAGTGTTTTTAACTTAATTAACAATGGCTCGAATGAACCGCCCAGCGCCTGTGGAAGTCACATACAAGAACATGAGATTTCTTATTACGCACAATCCAACCAATGCAACCTTAAACAAATTTATAGAGGTAAGGTTAAAAAAATTTCAAAAAACCTTTTCTTAAATAGATTTTAATAATTGGACTTGTATTTAAGGAAGTAACTATAACTTTAGAAAAATTTAAGTCGTATTTGTTTATGAGTTAGAACTGCCCTATAGCTGACTCTTCCCCTGGAGAGAAGCACATGGGAGAAGGGAAGAGAAGCCTATGAAAGTCCACTGAAGGGTCAGCTATAAATTCCAGCTAGACAGTGGCGAGTTGATATATAGACATGTTTTTTACCATTTTGATTCAAAAGAAATTCTTGGTGATGTAGTGTTAAAGAATAAGCATGCTAACCAATGATCAGCTACTCCTCAGGAAAAAGATAAGCCATTAGATTAGTATTCTGAAAGTTTAGAAAAGTTTTGGGAACCCTGTGGACAGTTCTGTCCTTTGCTATCAGTCAGATTCTACTCACTGGTGGTTTGGCTATATGTATTTTAAATGAAACGAGAATATAATTGATGATACAATTCCTTTTCCCTTTGTTGCTATTTTAGTGTTGTTTAAAAAGTAAAAATATTTTTCTTATTAAAATATATTTTGGCTATAATTATGATTTTCTTTTAGCCTTTAATAACTGGAGAGAGATCAAAATAGTAATAGTGATACATTTATGATGCCTTCAGTCAATTTTCAGTCAGTATTTTCTGTGTTTTACTTAGGAACTTAAGAAATACGGAGTTACCACGATAGTAAGAGTATGTGAAGCAACTTACGACACTACTCTTGTGGAAAAAGAAGGCATCCATGTTCTTGTAAGTACTTGATAGACATTTTACAATATAGACAAGTGTTAAAACTAGACATGAAAAGCTTTTTATAATTGTGTGATATAGTATGATTTCTTAATTTCCAAATAAAGCTGTGGGAGCTAAGCATGAGTTTTTTAGTGAAAAGGAAAATAAAAAAAAATTTTTTTTTTTTTTTTTTTTTTCAATAAAATGACCAGTAGGAAAGATTGTGTCCTAGCATGGGTACAAACTCTGAGGACCCAGAAAAACAAGATAGTCCCATCACAGCTTTCATTGTATTTCATTAGCAGTGGCTTCTAAATAAATTTGGGGTTAAGCATGTTAAAATCAAACTATCATTTTTTTTTCCTTTTTTTAGATTTATGGGGTTTTTTTAAGATTTGTTGTTGGAAATTTGAAATTGTGTGACTCCTTAAGGCTTTAAAATTTAATTTTTTTTTTTTTTTTTTTACTTTTTTTTAATAAAGGATTGGCCTTTTGATGATGGTGCACCACCATCCAACCAGATTGTTGATGACTGGTTAAGTCTAGTAAAAATTAAGTTTCGTGAAGAACCTGGCAGCTGTATTGCTGTTCATTGTGTTGCGGGTCTTGGGAGGTAAGAAAGTTTTGTAAATGTATTTAGTAATGTGATTTTTTTTAACTTGGTTATCTATTTGTCAGTGTATTGTTTTGTTAGTTTGAAGTAAATGAATATCGTAAAGAATATAATGTATTCCATGACAGCTGGAAGTAACATGCTGGGCTGCAGTTTCCAATTTATCAATGGATGAAATTGATAAAGAATTAATGTAATAGGGGGTAATGTATTAGAAAGCATATCTGATCTCATTTGGAGGGAAAAGATCTGAATTATGTGTTTATAAGGGGATCGGAGAAAATGCAAACACAGCTCTTTAAGTGAGAAATACTTTTACTCCTTAGAAAATGAAAATTCTCAGCTTGCTCTTCTAAGAATACTATTTTAACAGTCTTAACATTCTTTTTTGTGTGGTTGATCGTTATTTTTTAGAAATTATTATTAATGCATAAGTTTTTAACTTGATTGGGAAATTAGTCTTGACTTTGTTTTGAAAAAGGTTTTGTCAAAATTCTTTCCTTACTAGAGCTCCAGTGCTTGTTGCCCTGGCATTAATTGAAGGTGGAATGAAATACGAAGATGCAGTACAATTCATAAGACAGTAAGTAGTTTCTTTTCATGTGTAGTGTTTGTACTTTTCTCATTAAATATCAGTGAAATTATCACTACACCTAGTCCTTACACAGTAGTAAGGCATTTACTGTTTTGCATATTGACAGTTAAATTATCAAAGTCACTGACCTGTGAGCCTTGTCATCTTAGAAAAGAAGCTTGCATTAATATTTCACAAGGCAGTAGGGGAAGGAGGAAAAAAATCTTGAAAGCTACAAGGGTGTGTGGCTAGGCAGGGAGGGCAGTGGAGACCTGGAGTGTAGGGCCAGGGCTACCCAATGACAGTTGAGTTTTCTTGAGAGGAGGACTGGCTAGGGGTCCAGCAGACATAGTGAATCTTCTACTGTATCAAAGCCTTCCCTATCCCTTGAAAAAGCCACTAACGATGTTTTATGATCCTTGTGGAAATGAGCAATGCCACCTATACTGAATATACAGTGAGGGCTGGAAAGAGAAGGAACCTCAGTGATTGAAGCCTTAAGACAGACCTTAGGTTGGAAGGCTTTGTTCATATAAGCCACCTGATCTTTTTACTCCTGCCCACCTTTGTAATTGAGGACTGGGATTGCTATGAAGGGAATTAGTAGTAACATCTGACCCATTTTTGAGCCATAAAAATTCAAATTAAATAGGTAAAAATTTTTAATTGTTTTCATTTAAATATATTTTTTATTTAAATCCCTCCAGAAAGTATCATTCTCCCCTTTATTGTCTGCTTTCTTGTCATCAGTTAACTTCTTTCATCATAGGTTAGTTTTGCCTCATCTTGCATTTGTGATTTATGACCATTGTCATCACTCAAAAGAAGATAAAATTCATTTAATCCATTTGTACGTTTCCTATGTTTGCTTCTTTCTCCACTAAGCTGTACATACAGCATATAATCAACACATTTCCCCAAGAAAGAGATAATCATGGTCCGTGACACACTGAACTTGGAAGAGAGATTTGTCTTATCTTAATATTCTCTCCCTCCCCCCCCCTCTCATTCCAGAAAGCGGCGTGGGGCTTTTAACAGCAAGCAGCTTTTGTATTTGGAGAAGTATCGTCCTAAAATGCGACTACGCTTTAAAGACTCCAATGGTCATAGAAACAACTGTTGCATTCAATAAAATGGGTGCCTGATGGTATGCCTTGGAAGTGGAACTTGAAAAAGGAACTCATTTGTCATGCATATTTACCAGCCTGTTAGCTTGGTGAATAAGTCTAATAAAGCTTCTGTGGGAGTATTGAAAAGTTGTTTAACCAGGCTACAAGTTGGACAGAATTTCAGCCTCCATGGTTGGGTTACAGTCAGCCTTCCTGGACACTTAGCTAAGGTTTCTTAATGTTCAGCATTTAAAATGTACTTATCATTTGTACCAATTGACTTTTCCCTGAAATCATGAAAAAGTGTTATGAAACTTAAAATCTTTTTCCCAATCCAGAATATTAACCGATACATTAAAAAATTTAGAGAAAGATTAGGTGCCAAAAATACCCAGCACAATATTTGTATATTTTCAGTATCGTACAAAAATAAAAAATCCCAGGAACTATGAACACTCTAGATCTTTTTGTGGTTTATTTCTTGAGTCAGTTGAAAGTAGAACCTGTATGGTTTTCTGCCTGTTCACGTTTTGTTTACATCTCCCACATTCATACCGGTGTACATCAGGTTTGTGTAACCATTGATTTTTACTGAATTTTTACCAAGTCTTAATAGTGATTATTTAATGTCTCTCTGTAAATTCATTTTGTGCTTTTATGGAACTTGATTTTGAAAAAAACACATTGTACAGAAGCACATGTCATTAATGTCTCCAGACAAAAGGAAAAAAAAAGCCTTACATTTAATTTAATGTTTGCACTTTGGGGTGCAACCTAATAGGGAGGGCCTGGACAAAAAGAATGGGAGGGGGCTATTAAATATTTTTAGTAAAATGTTGCCTTTGTCTTGTGCAGAACACGTAGAAATATGCTCTTTAATTTAGTAATATTTTTTTAGACGGTAGAGATGCTTTGTTATTGTAGCTAAAATCTTAATCATAAAATCTCTGAAATTGTCATTTTTTTTTCCCCAGTAGGAAGTTGTTTACCAACTTACTTTGTTTGAAGTGTGATTTCCCCCCCCTTCTTTTCCAACCTCTCTTGCAAAAAAGAAGTGGGTTTCTGCTAATGCATTGAGCAGACTCTTAATTTTTATATGCCTTTTGAGCTGTGTAACTTAATATTTGGATACTGATAATTTGTTTTATTATGTAATTGGTAAAATGGTGATGTGTATTAATGTTAGTTCAACCATATATTTATACTGTCTGGGAATGTGTGGTTATATAGTTCTGTGGGAGAAATAATTTGTCAGTGTTCACCAGCTTGTAAAAACCTAGTTGCGAGAGCTTAAATATCTAAATAAATGATGAAATGCATTTATCATCAGAAGATTGTTTTGCTTAAGGCTAAGAACTTATTTTGTGGAAAATGAATGATTGCCCTTCAGTTAAGTCCATTTGAAATAGAATGTGTCCTCATTTTATGAATGTTAGATTAAATAGTCAGTTTAAGCTTCTGATAAGCATTTCTATTGGTTGTGAGAACTATGTTTAATGTGTTCTCAAAGTTTTTAAAGATTTAGGTAATTGACTACTGCTCTATACTGAGGAGAATCAGTGTTTAGTTGATCACCAAATTAGTGGTCTGGGTGAATTGCCTCCGAGCCTAAGTTGCAAAATAAGAGTGTAATAAGTTTAATATTAGGTAACATCAAATTCTCCACCTTAATAATCTGAATTAAAACTGCCCATCCACTTTATTGTCACAGTTCTTGAGCTCACTGTTAGAACAAATGAATCAATCCATCTTGTGGAAGTTTTACTTTTAGAGACAGCACTGAGCAAGATAACCTTCTTGAGACAGAGACCTTTAAAGTACCTAAGACTTGCCACCCTCTCTTCTAAGGAAAAGGCTTTTTTCCTAGACATTTGTTAATGTGTTAGTCCATGCAGTGACCCATATTCTTTGTCAGCACCCTAATTCAAATGCATCCATTATTATTCAGCTTTGATAAGCCTGTGTAAAACACCATGACCTGGATCTAGGTACACCTTCATTCTGAGGTATGACTACTTTTTAATACTTTAAATGAGATCTCCAAAGATCAGAAAAAAAAATTCCCTTTGGACTGCTGCTTGGATTTGGGTAGAAAATAATTGTTATATTGTGGTCCCATTATGAGGATTTTTGATGTATCGATACTAAAGACTACGTCTTTGAATTTCATTGGTGCTTCATGTCCTCTTTCAGCAAGTAAGGATTCACATCCACATATCATAGATAAAGTTTTACTAAGTTCAGCATAAAGATTGAACAAGTAATAGCCCTGGCACATAGTTTTCCTGATGTTAGGTAAGTCAGTACCTCCATTTTTGGTTGTTTTTTTTTTAAACCTTTTTGTATGGACTTTGCACAAACAGTTTTTTCTGAAATTCCCCCTTTTCCACAGTGTTCCCCTTAATTTATGGTCCACACAGTCTTAATGTCTGCATAGTCTTTTTAACTGCTGCTCTTCACAGCTTTTAGTCAAGTGATCTGACATCAGCCATGATGCTAATTGCTCTCTCCACACTCTTCTGAATCTCACCTGGAATTTCTGGTCTGTCTTAACAGTATATCACTTGTTTAACCAGGACAGGAGTGTGAGGGTACAGGGTCATCTGGAGGTCATAGTTCTTTAAATTTTAAATCTTTTAGATCATTAGTGTTTATACTGAAAAGAGATGCCATCATGATTAAGTCAAGTGTCTTCTCTATTTGAAAAATTAGTTTGGTTGGTGGAGTGCATATATGGTGCTAACAATTTATAATTGTCATATGTATAACATGAAATTAACTCTATCCAAATATTTTGTACTTGTAAATATTACAAATAAATTCTAGTAGATAACACATGGTAAAAATTTTTAGTAGGAGTTAAAAACTCTCAGCATTCAAAAATTTGATCAGGGAGCTCTAACTGGCATAGAGTTGGCAACACAGCAGTGAAAGAAAATCTCATTACTTGGTTTGAGATCTCAATTTTCCTCAAACTGATATATATGTAACCAAGTTCTCAGATTTGTCCAAAGGAATCAGTGATAACATGACTTTTAAATCACAAGTAAGTTAAAAAATGAATTTTTATCCTTCTAGGGAAAGCTAGGAATAAGTACTATCGGTTATGTTATAGCACACTACATTTATCCTTGGTGCCCCTCTTAGAGCAGACAGCGCACTACTGTTCTCAAACCTCCATACAGCTCTGTTCTTAGAGATAGCCAGTCCAGGTTCGTCATATCTCAGAGCATTTCAGATACACTCTAGTTCTCCCATCTTTGCTGTAGATTTTCAGTTTCTTGGAGTTTTATATTTTGCTTTTGTTTTTACATTCTCTACATTAAACAAATACATATTTGCCAGCATGTTAGCGTGGTGGAAAACAAAAAAGATTGTTACCTCTTGGCCATAAAGAAAAATTCCTTCTTTTGGAGTTTTAGGCAATGTAATGAAATAGAAATCCTTCAAAGGGGGAAGTATAGGCAAATTTTTTATTTTTAACATGTAGACAAAGATTTTTTTCTTAAGTACCTTTCTGAAAAAAATACATGGAGTGTCTACCCTACATGTTTATACTATACATTCTCTGAATAAATATGTATGTACATGTGTATATGCCTCTTTGCACCTGAAATGATAATTAAAGTTGGTTTAAAAGTATTTGACATACTGTTTCTGCATTATATTTGGGGCAATCAAAATGACTAAGAATAACAATATTCAGTGCCTTTGAATTGTGCTGGAGAAGAGTTGACTATACCATGGATTGTGAAGAAAACAAACAGGTCTGTCTTGGAGAGACTTGGGCATGTTGACTGGAGGGATGGTGTAGGAAAGGAAGACCCTGGATGAGATGGATTGACAATGACTGGGTTGATAAGGGTAGGTGTGTCATAGGGCAAGGTTCAGAGCTATTCTGCATAGGGTTGCAAATGAATTGACATAGCAATCTAAAATACAGGAGCTGTGGCCTAGTGGTAAGAAGTGCTGTAATCCCAAAAGCCTACTATTCAAATCCATCAACTGCTCTGAGGGAGAAGGATGGGCAATCTTACATTCTTCTGTTTCTGAAATCCTGCTAGAGGATCAGCTATGGGTTGGTTGTGACTTGATAACACAATTGAACATAGCAAAGGATAGGGATAAATGCAATTTTTACTTTTTATTCAGCTATCTGCATGAAGTCATGAGTGGAAGGATTGGCTGGTTTTGCAATTTTAATATGAATTTCTCTAAAGGAGCGCTGATTGATAGCAATTTGAGCTCCTAACTCAAAGGCCTCTCTCCAGGAGTTTGAATCAGCCAGCTACCCCTCAGGATAAAGATGGTGAGCCGTTCAGCCCCTGAGGTGAGCCATTTGGTCCTCGGGTGAGCTCCTCAGTCCTCAGGTTGTGCTGTCTGACCCCTGGATAGAAAAATCTGCCTTTTCAAAGCAAATACAAAAAAAGAAAAATCTGCCTACGGTATCTAGAGAAATTTATCGAAACTACTTTCCTCCACCTTCTCCCCCAGTACATCCATAAGTAACACCTCCAAAGTCCTATTTGTAACTCTCAAGTTAGTTCTCTCTAGGTTTCCCCCCTTTCCTATAGGTAACCTTAACACTGAGTTTTACTCCAGACCTGACCCTGAACCCAGTTCCAGAGACAAAGGAAATACAGCTGCCAGCTAAGGAAGCAAAGGAGGATGGAGCCTCAGGGTTGAGTCAGCCATCCACACTGGACCCACCTTAGAAAACACTTTGCAATACAAAGGGGAGTAAATATCAGGAAAATATCTTCTAACAGAACAAGGCAAGCCGCTTTAACCCAGGACCACTAGTAAGATGATAAAGTGTGCTCCCTTTCCACCTTCACATCAATGCCCCAGTTCAGCATGAAGGAGTCGGAGAATCTACACCCCATTCCAAAATGAGAAACCCGCAAGTAAGACTGTTTAATCACCATTGGACTAAGCTTACCATTGCCCTGTATCGTCTGGTCTCCACTGGATCGTTTTCATTTTTTTCACCTACTCCCCCACCCACCAAATTGTGCAGCCCTGCAACTGCATCCCT